AAGAGATGTCCTGTTTTGCCTAAGCTTTTAAATTTAGGTTATCTTTATCCTAAAATATTACCTTATTATCTTGTTTTAATTTAAAAGCAATAGGTAGTTCCTTATCTTCCTGTTTTCCTTTCTGTTGTTCTGCTTTTGCCTTTTTATCACTTCTGATCCCTCCACCTCCTTTTTTTTCTCTAATTCTAGTCATCCTTTTCTTAATCTTTACTCTTGTCTTAGCTGAGCTTATACTATTAAAGGGCTTATCTCCAAATTTTATTCCACTAGCCTTTCTCTCTCAAACCCACAGAAAATGATGGGAAACAGACTTTTGTACCTGCCACAATGTGAAAAGGATGCGAAAGCCCTTGGTTATGAAACTTGTGTGATGTTTTCAAGAGATGCAATCCCAGTGTAGGAGAGAATCAGAAAAACTCTTAATTGTGTAATAATGGGAAAGTCACTTGATATGGTGTTAAGGTGAAACATTTTGTTACAGTTTGAAATACGAATATAAGACTTGAAGTAACTTTGTTACATCTGAAATATAAGGTCATGTTAAGAAGTGATATTATCCACAAATCACCAACATAATGTGTATAGATTGATGTTTTAAGTAATTCATAAAGTGACACACTTTGATTTCAATGAAGAAACATAAATACCAGGAGATATCTTGACTCTGCAAACCCAGAAGGCTTCTTGTGAGTGATAGGTGATTTAAAATAGTTCCTTCCGTACCTTTATGTTCTTTGCAGGTGCCTAACCCACGTTTCCCTGAAGAAAGCTCTCTGTGTCTAGGGGACACAGTCCAAGCAGAAGCTAATTCTCTACGTTGTTCATGCCTGAAATGCCAAATGGGGCAAAGAGGTACTTTTCATATAAGATGTGGTTATTACTCTCTCTTAAGACACACAAACAAAAGGGGACAGCCAGCTAGCCTTTACTTGTGGAGAATGCAGGAACAGTTCATCATATTTTCTCTGTCATTTCAGTACTGCTATATTGTGAGGCAAGAAGGCTTAGGTATCTTAGGTTTGGAATATATGATAGTCACAAAACTTAGGAAGCTTGAAAGAGTCAAATATTCAACCAAACATTTATTAAAATACTGTGTGCCAGGTACTAGAGATAAAAAGATAAAAAATGAAATTGTCTCTGCTTACGAGGAATGATTTCAATACATATGTATAGAAAAATACAAGCTAATCTGAGGAAGGAGGGAATGCTACCTAGTAATTTTAGGAGACCAAGAAAAGCTTATAGGAGTTAGCACCAGAAGTGAACCTTAAAAAAAGGTAAAGTAGGAGAGCCAAATCAAAGAAGAGAAAGGAAGAAGTTCATCCAAGTACACTTACACAGACTTCACCAAACAGATATAGAAAATGCACCAGACAATCTTGATGGGCAAATCCAGAAAAAAAATCATAGTCCAGGTCAGCATAGGCAGAAACAAACAGAAGTCTAGGGACAGGTTGGGTTAGTAACAAGTGGAGCACAGAGCACTCTAGCACTGGAGGAGGCTGTGTACCACGGTAAGAGGTCTTAGAACTCAACTGGACCATCATGACAGTGTGAACTGGCAGCTTTGTCACCCATGACCCACTTCCAGGTCACAGAATTAGAATGTAGTGAGAACAGACCTGTGTTCTGGTATGGAGACCCAGGGCAGTGTATGGAGAAAGAAATTTCAGAAGCCAGTAGTACCAGTTGTGTGGTTTAGACCTAAGGCACAAAGTGGGGTCTTACTTCCAGTGTCTAGCCCAGTTTGCAGAAGAATAAAAGGGCAGAAATCTCAGAACAAAGGGAAGCCTACAGTTCTGCTGCTCTGAGTCAACAGAGCTCACCAGCTGGCATTAGTAGGGGCAGAGTCTATAGAAGTTTACTTTTCCAGACACAAACCCAGGTCAGAAATTTGTGGAGCTCAGACCAATGGGTTGGCAATCAGATTTTGCCAGACTAGGCCATTTGGGGAGCATTGAAAGCTTGCAGGTCACTAGCCTGCACCTCAATACTCCAAGAAAGCAACAGGACCAGCTTCCCTCTAGAAGTGTGGCAAAGCCAAGCCCTAACATTAAGTCTGAAGTCAGGAAGAATGGAAAAACAAAGAATCCCGCTGTAACTAGCTACTTTTGGTAACAGGTACTCACACAAACTCTGAAGAGAATGACTCTAGAACATCCTTAAGCAATGCCTCACAGAAAAATATAGCTCAGGCAAACTCAACTAGAATTCCTGGAAAAGATGAAGCAAGAGTTTGAAAAAAGAATTTAAAAAAATATTTTTATAAGTGAAATGAGAGTGCTCAAGACAAAAATTGAGGGGAAATGAGAACTATGGAAGAAAGAGGTGGAAAGAGAATTGATAGCTTGGCATCAGAGGTACAAAACCTTTCCCAAGAAACAAACTCCCTGAAAATTCAAATGGAACAAATAGAAGCCAGTGACTTCATGAGGCAACAAGAAACACTAAAACAAAGCCAAAGGGTTTAAAAAAAGAAGAAAATGGAAGGTATCTCATAGCAAAAACAATTGACCTAGAAAGCAAATTAATGAGAAAAAAATCAAGAATCACTGGATTGTCAATGTCATGACCAAAGAGTCTAGACATTCTATTTCAAGAAATCTTAATCCCCAGATCTCTTAAAACCAGAGGGCAAAGTCAAAATAAAAAGAATCCACCTGCCTCCTGAAAGAAACCTCAAAATGAAAACATCCAGGAAACATCATAGCTGAAATCCAGAGCTTCCAGGTCAAAGACAAAATATTGCAAGCAGTCAGGAAGAAATAATTCAAGTACTAAGAAGCCAGAGTCAAGACCACACGTTATTTAGCAGCCACCATTATAAAGTGGAGAACTTGTAACACAATATTTCAGAAGGAAGAGGATTATGGGTTTATAATCAAGAATAATCTAGCGGTAGCTAGATACTGCAGTGGATAGAATACCAGCCCTAGAGTCAGGAGGACCTGAGTTCAAATCTGGCCTCAGACACATGATACTCACTATCTGTGTGACCCTGGGCAAGTCACTTAACCCCTATAGCCTCACCCGAAGGAAAAAAAAATAGAATAAGTTAACCAACAAAACTGAGTATAATTCTACAGGTCCTTCTAATTGACCTTCAATGAAATAGAGAACTTCCAAGCATTCCTGATGAAAAACATAAAAAAGTGAATATGAATGAACAATGATAAAAGACTAAACAAGGATAAGCTACTTAGATTCAGATAAGAGAAGATAATACATGATGATCCTCTGTGAACCCTAATTGAAGTCCAATTAGACAAGACCTGGGAATGGTTCTGTTAAGTCTTGATGATCTTAAAGAAAAGAATGGAAAGAAGGGAAGTGGCATATGCTTGGGGGAGGAAAGAGGGGAAGGAAATACAGGACAAATTATCTCACATAATGAGGGTACACTAGTAGGCTTCCACACTAACAAGAAGGAGAGGGTGAGGGGACCAGCTGACATGAACACTCTTTTATCCGAACCAGTCAAAACAAAGAACCTATACATAGTTGGGTACAGAAATACATTTCACTCAATGAGGCAATAGAAGAGAAAGGAAAGTGGAGAAAAAGAATAGACTAAGGGAATGATTAGTTCCAAGCAAAACAAATTCTAAGGATATACAGAAATAGTTAAAGTTCTCAATGAGGTGGCAAAGAATGGGAATCCGAGTAGGTGTCCCTAATTCGGTTAAATGAATGAACAAGTTACGATATATGAATGTGACAGTACTATTGTGCTGAACTTTTATCAAAGTAATGACAACCAGTATTTCAGGGGACTAATGATGAAACATGCTGTGTACCTCCTGATAGAGAAATGAAGGATTCAGAATGAAGAATGACACAGATATTTTTATATCGCCAATGTGGAAATTTGTTGTGATTGACTATATGTATTTGTAATCAGTTTTGGCAGCTTTTTGGTATTCCAGTGGAGGTAGAGGGTTTGCAGAGTGGGGGAGGGGGTGGAGGAGAGCGAGTTTAAGGCAAATCTTGGCTGATTAAGACTACATATGTAGGTGTGTGTGTGTATACATATGTGTATATATATATATATAATGTATGTATGTATGTATAGATATGTGTGTATGTATAAAGAAATCTTGGGAACTCTGATCACAATGACCAACCACAATTCCTAAGGACCCACGATGAAACATGCTGCCCACCTACTGATAGAGAAGTGATGGACTCAGAGTGCAGGCATTATTTTTTAGACATGAGCAGTGAGAAATTTTGTTTTGCTTGATTGTCCATATTTATAACAGGAGTATTGGATTTGTTTTTTGTTTTGTTTTTGGCTTTCTCAGTGTGGGGGGAAGGGATAAAGGAAGTGGGAAAGAGAGAAGACTAATCTTTGTTTGAAAATAAATAAAATTTCTTTTAAAAAATAGCTAAGGTAGAGGTGAGGAGGGTATATATTCCATGAAGGGGGCACAGTCTATGCAAATATATGGAGGTAAGAGATGGATTTTGGCTTGGAACAGAAACTTTAAAGGTGAGTAAAGGGAAATGTCCATTAAAATAAGCTAGAATCAGCTTGGAAAGGGCTTTAAACTGGAGGTGATATTTTATCCTAGTGGCAACTGGGGAGCAGTGAAGAAGATCTTTTGAGAAAGAGAGTGACACAATCAAACCTGTGCCTTACAAATATTATTTTGGCAACAGGGAGAAAGATGGATTCGGGAGTATAGAGATTCAAAGCAGAGAAACTAATTAGGAGGTTATAACAATTGTCCAGATAAGCGGTTATGAGGGCCTGAAATAGGAACTCAGTAATAGCTTCATAGATGGAGGTGAAGGGGATGAATGTGAGAGGTTATTATGGAGTTTGAATGTAATGGGCTGAGCTAATAGTCAGCCCACTAAAAATAACTTCACTTTTATGTATCATTTTTGCAGTGTATGTTTTTAATATTCTTAAATTCTTTAACTCTTTAATATTCTTAAATATCTTAAAGTTTGTTTCATTAAACCTGGTATTTTACATTTCTTTTTGAGGGTACTAAAATCAACCAGTGTTGTCGTTTTTTTTTTTTTATTTAACACTCTACCATAAACAGAATAAAGGAGATTTTCAGAGGTAATATTCTTGATGGAAAAAGAATAGATATTGAGGGTGAATGAGATTTTTAAGAAAAGAAGAAAAAAAAATCTCAGTAGAAAAAAACAAAACCAAGTCACTGAAAGAAAGTGGAAGGGTCTCCAGTGGTAGATAATGTCAGTTATCTTGCAGCTTACTACAGTAATTTTAGTTTTCACTCTCTTCAGGTACACATGCAACTACAGCATCATCTTCAAATCACTTCAAAACATGTTCCAAAACACCAATCCCAAGATCCCTCAGGATATGTTCCCATAGTAACTAGCCAGAATTAATGCCCACCAACAAGTTGTATTTGCTGAAATGTATCGCCTTGAGATTCAGTTTATAAAATGAGCATCCAAGTACAATCCTTTTGTCTCTAAAGTACTAAATGTGGAAGCAGGACTCACTCAGTAGAAACAGTTTCTCTCAGAAATAGAGCTGGAAGGTCCCACGATGGCAGCCTTGAAAGCTACCTTTTCAAAAAAAAAAATTGAGAAAAAGATAAAGTGCCTATCTATCAGAAAATGAGTTTTATTATGAAGAGGCAGCATAGTAAATAAGCTCCCTCAGGCACTGTTTTCTAAGGTCAACCTTTTTTTTTCTTCTTCCCAAGGTAAGCAGAAGAATGTGCAAAATGTTCCTCTGGCCATGAAGCCGGGCAGGATTGCCAAGGCCCTGCAGGACTTCTTATGCATGCAATCCCATGCCTCTTGTGCCTGACTGAGGAATGATACCAGATGTGCCACGTTGTACCTAAGCTCACAAGCAATGAGGGTATGGAACTCGGTGTCATGGAGCATGAAGGTATGAAACATGTTTACTGGTTAGCACGGCTTTTCAAGTTGGTCTAAAGAGGCAACTGAGATGGGTCTGTCACCTTCTGGAGGAAAGGACAGAGCCAAGCCTGCAGGTATCACCATTTGCATTTTGTACTCCGAGCAGTGTGCTGGCTCAGGAAGATTAGGTGAAGAGTTGCCTTTGTCTCCAGACATGGTTGGGGCCAACTGGGATACATAATTCAAACTGACTTCTTCTCCAGCAGGAGTATTGCCAAATGGTCTGATGTAGTCCTTGTCTACCTTTAGTAAATGCTCAGAAGACTCCACAGACATCATTTGGTCTGTGGGTATCATCTGATTTTGGCTACAAGAACCAGAGTCAGATGCTGCCTGACAATAAGTGAAGTTCTCAAAACAAATGCAAGCTTGAGAGTCCAAGGCATCTTTTCCCACTGGAAGGAGGTAGAGATAGGCAGGTGTGGTGATCTCATTCCCCACAAGTATTGTCCTCAATCCCTGTGTTTTACTTATTTCTGGCTTGTTCACAACTTCAATGGCGTCAGGAATACAGTCACTAGTATTCAGTATGGCCTGGTGAATATTGCCCTAGAAAATAATCAACAAAATAATTGCTAAAGCAGACAAATGTATAAAGTTCAGAAAAATAACCTGTTTTTAAACATTTCCCCTCCTAATAACTGAGATGATGCTTCAGTGTTTTATCCTGATCACAGCAACTAATTGAAGGTGATGGTTTAAAAGCAAAGGATTCAAGCTATTTTTACATTTTTATTTTACTGTTTGAGAGTGAAGAGGGACAATCCCTTTTCACCCTGTTCTTGACGTTTGTCCCCCTAAGAAGCCCATATTTTCCTACTTTCCTTCACAAGTCCAAGGAAAGCACTGTCATCATAGGCCTGATCCAATAGTATCTAATTTGGGTTCCCTTACAGCTGTAGATCTATGATGTTATATTGGGGCATCTAGGTGGCGCAGTGGATAGAGCACTGGCCCTGGAGTCAGGAGGACCTAAGTTCAAATCTGGCCTCAGATATATAACACTCACTAGCTGTGTGATTCTGGGCAAGTCACTTAACCCCAACTGCCTCAAAAAAAAAAAAGGGATACTGTATCTATGATCTTATATAACCTATGCAGTATTTTTTAAATTAATTTTTTTTCAATTAATGAAAATCTGCCTTCTTCTGTGTCCCTTGAGAAAGTAAAAAACAAAATAAACCACTGTTATAAACATACAGTAGTAAAGTAAAACAAATTCTTGCATTGGTCATGTCAAATATATATGTGTGTATGTATACACACATACATGCATATATGTTTGCATGTATGTATAAAATATATATCAGAGTGGAAGTGTCTGTATACACATACACATATTTACACTCTGAGTCGTCACCTCTCTATGAGGAGATGGGTAGTGTGTTAAATCATAAGACCTCTGAAATGGTTGTTAGTCATTGAGTTGATCAGAGCTATTAAGTTTTTCAAAGTTGTCTTTATCATATTGTTTCGGTTTACCTGTATAAATTATTCTCCTGGTTCTCCTCCATTATGTATCAATTCACAGAAGTCTTCCCAGGTTTCTCTGAAACCATTTACTTCATCATTTCTTACAGCACAATAGTAGTCCATTACATTTATCTAACACCATTTGTTCAGCTATTCTTCAACTAATGGGCGATCACCTCAGTTTCCAAATTTTTGTCACCACAAAAAGGACTGTCATAAATATTTTGGTACATGTAGGGCTTGTTTCCTCTTATTTTTATCTCTTTGGAGTATATATTACTAGTATTGCTGGGTCAAGGTGTATGCACAGTTTAATAGCTTTTGGGCCATAGTTACAAATTCCTTTCCATAGTGACTGAACAACTCCACAGTTCTACCACTAGTGCATTAATGTACCTGTTTTCTCATACCCCCTTAAGATGTGTCATTTTCCTTTTTTTTTTTTGTTCAACTCTGCCAATCTGATGAGGGTGAGGTAGGACCTCAGAGTTGTTTTAATTTGTATTTCTCTAATTATTTGTGATTTAGAGCATTTTAAAAGTATGGTTATTAATAGCTTTCATTTCTTCCTCTGAAAACTGCCAGTTTGTATTCTTTGACCACTTATCAGTTGGGAAATAGATCTCATTCTCATAAATTTGAATGAATTTCCTACAAATCTTAGAAATGAAACCTTTATCAGAAAAACCTGCTACAATTTTTTCCCCTTTTACTAATTTCTTTTCTAAGTTTGGTTGCATTGGTTTTGTTTGTGCAAAACCTTTTAAATTTTATGTAATTAAAATTACCCATTTTACCTTCTTTGATCCTTTCTAGATTTTATTTGGTCAGAATTCTTCCTACTATCCACAGACAGATCTGATAGTTAATTTCCTTGCTCTCTAAATTTTCTATGATATCACCCTTTATGTCTAAATCATGTCCCCATTTATCTTGGTATACAGTATGAGATGTTGATCCATAAGTAGTTTCTGCCGATCTGCTTCCCAGTTTTCCCAACAGTTTTTGTTAAATAGTGAGGTCTTACCCCAAAAGCTAATTTTTGGTTTTATCAAACACTAGGCTGTTATGCTCATTTGCTTCTGCATATCGGGTACCTAAATTGTTCCACTGACCCCCTTTCTGTTTCATGACCTATATCAAATTGTTTTGATGATTACTATTTTACAGTATAGTTTGAGATCTGGTATTGCTAGGCCCACTTCCTCCACATTCATTATATAGTACTTTTTCACTGTTTCTCACCTTGAATTTCATCAGTGACAGGACACTGCTCTTATAAGGGTCTGGAATATCAGGGAAGCACTTCTCCTTCACCCTAGAACAACAATAAAAGTAGTATTAAATGATCAACATATCAAAACATTTCTATGTGAAATAATTTTAAACAAAAAAAGTGGTCTTTCTCTCTTCATTCACACACACTAAAAATAGTACTAAAAACTTAATTGAATACTTTGGTCTATGGCTTCTTTCTCTCCTTCCTCTTCTGTTTTTTTTTTTCCTCCTAGCAAATTCAATGATTTTCAATTGAATTCCAACTGACTTTTTCTAGTTTTAATAAGGCATACCTCTGTCTCTCCTAATAGGAAAGCTTTTTAACACTTACCACTGAATTTTCAAGTTCAACCCGATGATGAGCAGCAGAGAAAATAAAGCCATGGGAAGTATTATAGTCATCATTAAATTGGCTGAAGAAAGAAGAAAAATTTTTGAATGAATAACTTTTGCTTCTGCCATAAGCTCAATATTAAAAATAAATCTGCATGTGGAGAATAGTTTATTAATCCTCAGCTTTTACCCGTGACAGAAATTTAATTTTTTCCTTTCCAATATTTCCTTTATCAGTATTGATGTTCTTTACATATTATTTAAAAAAACAACAACAACAAGCTAACACCTTATCCAACAGATAAGGGGGTCAAAGGATATGATACATATATATACATATATGTATATCTATGTGTGTGTGTGTGTGTATACACCTTCAACAACTATATTTTTAAAAACTGTTCCAAATTACTAATGATAAGAGAAATACAAGTTAAATAGCCTCTTAAATTTGAAAAGATGGTAATAGTGTTGGAAAGACTAAAGACAGATTAGCACATCAATACACTTAGTAGAACTGCAGTTTGGTCCATTTGTTCTAGAAAATAATTTGGAATTATTCTACAAAAGTTAGTGAGCTGTTCATACCCTTTCACCCAGTTATCAGACTGGTGGACAGATAGATGCCTGATGGAGGTCAATGATATCCCTTTTCTCCACCCATTTTCCAATTCAATTTGCCAGACTCTAGACAAATGTTTTTTTCCTAATGTCATTAGCAATATAACACATGAAGATTTTTTAAAAATGCATTTTTGTACTTGTTTTACCCTATCCCCCTTTTCCATGCCTTGAAAGAGATTCTCCCCACACCCACACACACATCCCTTCTCCATACCACCCTCCCTGTCCATACGACCATATTTTTGAAATCCTTCTTTTCTTTCAAGGCCCAGTGCACACACCACCTCCTCTGTGAAGCTTTCTGTGATCTACTCTTCTTCGTCTCTCCAGCCACTTTGACCTCCCTCACACACTCTACCTTGAATTATATTTGTACATGCTGGATCCCCCATCTAGATTATAAATTCTTTAAGGGTGAGGATTGTATAATTTTTCATCTTTGTATTCCTATTGACTTGTACATAGTGTCTAAAAATGTTTGCTGAGTGAATGGTTGAATGTTAAATGGAAATTAAGTTCAATGAACAATTGAGCTCCAAAAATAAGATTACAAAACCCACGAAATAGTTTTTTGCCCAAAAGGAGTTTATATTAGAAGAAGGAAGAGGTAGAAGCAGAAGAGAAGGTAGAGGAAGGAGAGGAGAAGAAGGAGGAGGAAGGAAATGGGGTTGAATAAGGAGGAGGAACAGCACATCCACAAACAAATACGATTCAAGGGAAAAAACTGATGGAGGCAAAGGAGAAATCCATACCAAGTACTGAGGAGTACTTGGAGGAGAGACTGAGTCCCTTCTTTGTTGGGGTTTTGATTTTTCTAACTCACTGTTTTCATGGGTTCCTGTTGTGACCTTTATAATGCCAGCAAGGCTGTCTCCACCACCTGTGAATGCTTTCACTTCAAAACTGTATGTTGAATTTGGTTGCAGTTTTTTCACATTGAAAGTCTTTTGTTTTGTATCTGAAACTGTGTACATACAGACTACTATATTATCTAGAAAAAGAAAAGAAAAGAAAATTGTCAGTTCATTAAAAGCATAGGAGAAAACAGAAGACGTCAATAAGAAATATTTTGTGAAAAAGCATGGGAGATAAAAGTTAATTTGTACATTGTTTATCATGACTTGAGTGGACTGGGCAGCTAAGGACCTCACAAATGTCTCAAAACTTTTTCAATTTTCAAAATCTGTATTTCCCTTAGCCTCTTCCTAAAAGCCAGTCTTCCATCTTTCCCCTCTAGCTCCCCATCCCAGGTCAGATTTTTATCATTTCAAGCAAGGGGTCTCTCTCTCTCTCTCTCTCTCTCTCTCTCTCTCTCTCTCTCTCTCTCTCTCTCTCTC